AGAATGTGATCTTAAAGGGTTAAATAGTAATTTTTCACTTCATCTGGACTTTAAACATTACACTACGGTTACCAGAAGCCCCAGTTTTAAACTGGATGCCTTGACAAATATCTGTGAAATACTAATTTTGTATATATCTATATATTATTTGCTTGTTTTCAGCCCTCGCATTTATTATGTTCTGTTCCACCCATTATTACCTAACCATAAAAAACGCGGTTTGTCTGTATGCGTGTCAATCAATCAATCAATCAGTGTGTCATTGTTAGGGATGTTGTAACCCTGTGAGTCACAGGCAAGGGTCAGGCTCTTCCTGACAGAACCTGTCATAAGCTAACGGTTGTCTGTCACTTCAGTTCAGTTCATCATTTTATTATTCAGCATGGGAAACTTGAACACAAATACAGACAGAAGTACAAAAGTGATTCCTGTGTAAACAATATACTGAACATTCTGATACAACAACAAGGCTGAAGTTACACGTGTAAATAAGATGCTGAAATTAACACCACATGTGCAAATTAAGCAGTGTTATTGTACAAGAAACAAAGGAGTCTTTACTCAGGTTGCACTTGAACGTTGATACTTAATCTGCAGCCTGAGGGAAGAGTTTCAAGGAGCAGGAGGTGGCTTTATAGTTTAGTGATGACATGTCGTTGGTTCTTTTAAGTGAACGATGGCAGCTGGTTCCCTTCTGAGAACCCTATTTTGTTTCTTTACTTCTATTATTTTCTTGTATGATATGATAATCCTATAATGTTTTTTATACAGAAGCATCTCACTTTGGTAATAACATTAAGACTCAGACATGGTGAGACAAAACGCTCAATGCACGTGTCAAAGTTTTTGACATTTTTGACATTATTTAAGCTATTTATACCAAACATTATTTAAAACTATGGCTTTAATTACATTTAATTATTTAAAGCGAAGTTATTGGTAAATTGGCTGAATTATAAAAGTCAGAAGTGGCACTAAATTATTAAATTAATGACACTTCACAGTCCTGGTTTTCAGCATCAGCATGTTAGCAAGTAGATGTTAGCATATATCTGGTTTAAAAGGAGTAAGAAGAAATGAAAATGATTAGCTTTCCTTACATTAGAGCTAAAGTTATTTTATGTATTATTTTGTGGAAGTGAGTTTACAGATAGCAACATTATGAAACTGTTTTACCTTAAATTAATCAATTCATTCATCAGCTACTATTTTGATAATTGATTAATCATTTTGAGTCATTTATTAAAGAAAAGAAAATCTTCATTAGAAAAAATCTCTAATGAAAATAATCGTTAAAAATTAGATTTTAAACAACATGATCGTAAACAGTGTTAGACTGTGAAAAAAGTATTTCTGTAAGGTAAAATGACTGGTTTTATATGAGTCGTGCGGTACGAGCTTCCTGTTACTTGATCTTGATAACATCATCATCAATCATTCATCCATCATCATCATCATCATCCCAGTCATTGTCATTAATATAGTTGTGCAGTTTTTCCTTGCGCCCCCCGTCGCAATGCTTGCTCATGGTGGTACTTCAGTTGGCGTCTCTGTAAATAGATGTTATACCAGTGAGTTGCCGTCCTATGACCTGCTCATTTGAAAAAAGTCCTGAGATAACTTCCTGTTATACAAATAAAACTGAATTGAATTGAATTGATCTGAGATATTGATGCTCTATGCCGACACCTAGTGCCAAGTGAATGTCATACACATACATATATATGACATATCTCTATAAAACCTTTTAAAGATATAAAGTATTACTATATTCCAAATATAACTGTATAATACAACACATTCTTGTTCTGGCATCTAATGTTGTTTTTCAAACTTTATTTACATCCTGAAATGTTTTAATCTTTATTCAACAATGTGAAGAACTGTGTAACTTTTGTTTTTTTAAGGGCTAGCTAGTATAAATAAAAAATAAAGCTAAAACTGTACTTTTTGTATCAGAGTGCGACTTTAATGACTTTATAGTTTAGTGTCCTTTAGAGGAACTTCAGTTACGTTGAACAAAAGACAAACAACAGCGTTTTATTTTGTAGCACCTCAGCAGACTTTTATTTTTGTGTTTATTTCGGTGAGAGCTGCGAGTGAGCCCCCGGTGGTGCTCACAGGGTCTGACTGATGGTCTCCTGGGAGGTGCTCACCACCTTCCCGTCCACAATCTCCTCGACGATGGTGATGACTTTCTGTTTGGTGGTGGTGGTGGAGGTGGAGGAGGCGGAGGTGGAGGAGGCGGAGGTGGAGGAGGCGGAGGAGGTGGAGATGCTGCAGGAAAGAGACAAACAGATTAATCACAAACCTGCAGAAAATATTTGTAGTTGTAGAAAAAAATTATTAAAAAATGATTTCTGCACTAATTCAATCAACAAAATGTTACAGAGTGAGAAGTTACTGCATAAGGAACAAAGTGCACATTTAGCCTAATTTTTGGAAGTGAAATATCATAATTTTATACTTTGTGCAACAAATCTTTTCTTATGCAGTTTTTTCAGGTTGACAAAGGCTGATATGAACATTTTCACCAAGTCAAACTGAAATTTGAGCCCGTAATCAGATGGCAGTTAACATCCCAGCTAGCCAATTTAATTAAAATCTAAATGCAAATTTAACATTATTCACTATTAATCTCAATCATTAACTGAAACTGAAACCTGCAATCAAATTCCATTCAATTATTTATATACTTTAGTAACTCGAATTGTTGTTGAGGGTGTTTTTAAATTGTTACAACTGGTTAAACACTGGTTGTCCGCCCTGAATGAATGATCTTATCACAATTTTGCTTTTAATGTTTAGCTTAGTCTGATGTGTTTTTAGTGTTTTACTAATTTGATGTTGTTTTGCTGTTTTTATGTTTTTTTTTCATGTAAAGTGTCTTTGAGTATCTAGAAAAGTGCTTATAAATAAAATGCATTATTATTATTATTATTATTTGTTCAATACTCTTTGGAAAAATTCTTGATTTACAGATAATAAACCCCTGATCTTAACACCAAAAGAACTTTCTTAAGGCTCAGCTAAGGATTTTACTCTCTCCTGAAGCTGTAAACGTTGTTTAGGAGAATTTTCCACCATAAAATAATTGCAATTCTGAAGGGAACACTGGACATTTCTGGAGTACAAGATATTATGTGCTAAGTATTAAATCCTAGAATGTAACTGCAAAATAAATACATTTTAGTGTCCTGTGATGTTGTTGAATTTCAGTTAAAGTGTTTTAATATAACCAGTTTTCTCACCTGCCGCCACCCTCTCCGTCCAGCAGCCTCCTGTACTCTGCGATCTCCATCTCCAGCCGGGTCTTGATGTCCAGCAGCGCCTGGTACTCCTGCGACTGTCTCTCCATGTCGGCCTTCAGCTGCATCAGCTGCTCCTCCAGCATGCCCACTTGGTTCTGGTAGCCCGACAGCTGCATGGAGTAACGGTTCTGAGTCTCCGCCAGCGTCCCTTCCAACGACGCTTTCTGCAGGAGAGGACGGTTCATTAATTCACAAACACAGAAGATATAAAAGAGATAAAAGAGATAACAGAGGGGATGGGGGGCGATGCTCACCATGCTGAGTTGTGACTGTAGCTCGATCTCCAGGCCCTGTAGCGTTCGTTTGATCTCTGTGATCTCTGATTTGGTCGACTGGAGGCATTCTGTGTTGGCGACGACTTCTTTGGTCAATGTTTCTGACTGTGTGGAGGACAAAAATGGTTTTGAGAAACTGAATCTGAAAACTGTATCACAATCCATCCAATAGTTGCTGAGATATTTCAGTCTGGATCAAACCGACAATGAATGAACACGGTTAAAACTCTCTTACCTTTGTCTGGTACCAGCTCTCCAGCTCTTTGCGGTTTTTGGCAGCAATGCCTTCGTAGTACTCCCTGACCTCCTCCATGACCTTAGAGAGGTCCTCTCCTTGGGCGGCGTCCACCTCCACGTTGACCTGACCGCTCATCTGTGTGCGCATCGCCAGCAGCTCCTGCAAGAAGACACGAGAGGTGAGGATTCCATAAACCACAGAACTTTAATTTCATGTGCTCATTTTAATGAGAGCCCTGACCTCCTCGTGGTTCTTCTTCAGGAAGATCAGCTCCTCCCTGAGGCCCTCGATCTGCATCTCCAAGTCGGTCCGGCTCATAGTCAGCTCGTCCAGGACCCTCCTCAGCCCGGCAATGTCGGCCTCCACCGACTGACGCATGGCCAGTTCATTCTCAAACCTGCAAGAGAGGACAAAGCATTCGTTTCAAAATCGAATCCCCAAAATTCTACCAGACACAGCTGAATCCGGTGGATCTGAATGCTTCTTCTTCTTGTAGCTACTTATTAATGAGTTAATTTATTACTTGAGCCTGAAGTCGTCGGCAGCCAGCTTGGCGTTGTCGATGGAGAGGTAGATGCCACCGTTGATTTTGGTAGCGTCCTGGATCTGTGAGATAGAAGAGGAAAGAAATTCTGAAATGCTTTTTATGTTCTGTCTCACTCAGTCCTACTAACATTTTGAGATTGTGGGAAGAATGAAACTCATAAAAAATCAAAGGCAACTTGTTCCAGTGATAATACAATTTTCAGTAGTTTGGTGGCATCCAGTTCAACGTCCTATATATACTGTGTGTATATATATAAATATGAATATATATATAAATATATATTTACAGATATGTCTGTTTCCCATGCCAATAAAGCCCTTTTGAGTTTGACATAAAACTCAAAAGGTACAGGGGGGATTAGTAATTTGTGTAAATTTCAATCTACAAAGAAGGAGGAGTAAAAGTAATCTAATGAACAATGAACCTCTTGGTTTTGGATTTTTTTCTCAAATGAGATCCCAGAACATGTGAGTTACAAATATATTTTATATATATGTATCAGCTAAAAGATTAGTTCTGTTTGCTGAAGTTTTGACTCTTGTGATTGAACCAGCAGCCTGTAACCTGTTAACATCTGTCTTTACTAAAAACATCTCCAGCTTTCATCTCTAATCCTTTTCGCTAAAAGCAGTTCCTCAATTCAGCGAGCTCAGAAAATTAAGAGTACAGTGAAAGGTTGTATCAGTAACTGTCACACTGTATCTGCTCTGGTATTTGCATGATGACAGCTTTATGATGGCATTTTATCATGTGAACTGGTATTATTTAATATTGCTGCATTACTTTTACCTGAACGTACGGCACTGAAATAGACTTTTGTTGCCATTTTAGCACAATGCAGGTACAAGACAGGTATTTATTTTTAATTGTGTTTCAATTGTTGATTAATGCATTAAATGTCACCAAGTGAAAAAAGAGGTCCAATAGCAACAGTCTAAGTGTTGCCCATGAGTAACAGTCACACCTTCCTGCAGATGCTGGATGCACAGGTGAGCCTACCTTGCCCTGCAGCTCTGCGATGGTGGCGTAGAAGACACTGTAGTCTCTGGAGGAGGGGGAGGTCTTGCTCTCCAGGAACTGTCTGATCTTCAGCTCCAGCTCAGCATTGGCCGTCTCCAGCTTGCGCACCTTCTCCAGGTAGGTGGCCAGACGGTCGTTCAGGTTCTGCATCTGCCATGGTGGCCTTCCTCGTGGGCAGAGATGTCCATGCTGTCGCGCGCCGCCGCCGCGGCCGTCCTGCGGCAAAAGCCGATACCCGCCGCCTCCACCACCGGCTCCGCCGCCGAAGCTGAAGCCATAGGCCAGGCTCCACCACCGCCTCACCACCGCCTCCACACCACCGCCGCCGTATGCGGACATGGAGGAACCAACGGAGGAGATTCTCACGCTGGACGGCTCCAGCCCTCCTCCATACATGGACCCTGCTGCTGGGCCTATGTTACCCGCCACCACCACCACTACCACCACCAGACACCCTGGTGCTTTTGGATGAAGCGGAGCAAAAACATGTGGTGTGGCAGTTGAATGTAAAGGAGGCCTGTCTTTCTGCTTCAGCTGGAGCGGAGAAAGTGAGGAGGCTCAAAGAACCGCTCATTTTTGTATACTGTAAGATGAGTTTGTTAGAGAGGAGGGGGGGAAGGATGGTGTGCCTGTCGCCAAGCCTGGAGGGGAGACACCTGTCCTTTGTTTAACTCTGCAGGAAGGGTGAACCGGGACTGTGGGTGTGTCTAAGAAATGTGAATCCACTCCATCATCGTTACCATTCACCTGGTTGATCATTACTTCACTTCAAGAGCATGAGAGCATGGAGGGCAAGTTTCAGACCTGGATGACATTTAATATACAAAGGTCACACCAGCATGAAAACCCACACATTAATCAATCAGCAGCTGTAAAAAGAGTGACATCCCTCCTCACAATAATTCCACACCTCGGTGTTAGTACCAGCTTTTATGATGCGGCTGTTGGATAACTACTGGCCTGCAGGTTATTGTTGTTGTGAAGGCGGAGCCAAACTGCGTTTAAAAGACTAAACACCCTTCCTTTTAATTAGGAGAGGAGGCTTTGTGAGGCTGGCTGATCTTTTAGTTAAACAGAGCTGACAATGGGAGCAGAGACGGCGAGGAAATGGCTGATTGTAATTTTGGTCAACATCAGGTAAAAACAGCAAGATACAGAACGAAGCTCTGTCAAACTCTCAGCGTACAAATGTTCCACTTCACATGGATGATTTATGAAAGCCGCAGAGCTTAAGGGAGATATTGTACTTCCAAGCCTTTTTTGAATAAATCATTAGCAGATTCATTTAGATGTTAAACAAGCCTGCAACGTTTGGGCCAAGAAAATGCACCTTTGAGTACAGGTGAAAAGAACTCTGGAAAAGCAACGCTAATTACAAACTAGTAACCTTAAA